TCCATAAAATAACAATTTTGATAAATCTCAAGAGCTACTAAAAAAAAATCGGTCGACAAACAGAGAAGTCTTTTTAAATAAAACTATCTTTTCGGATTATTTCGCGGATTTATTTGGATTTTTGGTTCCCGACGTTTCGAATGATTTACAGCAATCATGGTCACGGGAGAGACTAAGGTTATAGACGTCTCAAACACATACTTGTTACAGACAGTGCCTACCCACTATTTTACAAAAATGATTTCAAAAATTCACAAAATGGCAATAAAGTAGCTTAGTATTTCTTGATTTTTATTGCTAAACATTTTAATTTTTTTAATAGATATTATAATTAAATATAGCAATATTATTTATTTGATTTTTGCTGTTATTATTATAAATATTACAATTTAAAAAACTTTATTAATTACTAATATTATTTAGTGTTGCTATTATTATATTAGTGTTGCTATTATTATATTTAAAATGTCAAATATTCGCGTAAATCAAAGAAACAGGGAAGTCATTTATTTAAGTATTTTTTTAAATTTCTCTGTTCTTAAAGATTGAACATAACATTATCCCAGTGTGTGATATTGAGTACAATCCAATAGTCCTTCCTCAATTAAACAAAAAATATATAAAGTCAGACTGATACTTTCCGAGATTCAGACAAACAAAAATACAAACGTTACATAATACTATCTTTCCGATTTTTTTCACGGATTTATTTTGATTTTTGGTTCCCGACCTTTCGAATGCTCTACAGCAATCATGGCCATGGGTGAGACAGATAGCTGAAACATTCGAAACGTCAGAAACCAAAAATCTAAATAAATCCGCGAAAAAATCCGAAAAGATAATTTTAATTAAAATATCAAATATTCGCGTAAATCTAAGAAAGTATTACGAAAAATACAAACTCTTCAGTTTTACAATATAACGCAGATGCGAAATGAATTTTGAAAATCTCAAAGCAAAAGCGATTCACTAGTTCAAATTAAACATGAATGAAATCAACTATCTTCTAGTGAAGTTAGTTAAAAATAAATAATGACTTACTTCACAATGCTCCATTTTAGGCTCTCGATAAAATTTCCACGTACTTTTGTGATTCACGTGTGGTTGTGTTTTAGTCATTGCGAGTGGGTCAATGTTAAAGACACTTGATAGCGCTTTAACAATAAGTAAATTTAATAGGAAAAACTAGCGGTACCCGCTGCTTCGCTCGCGTTTAAACTCAAGATATAAACATCAGTTCTACAATAATGTATGAAAGTCTGCCCGATTTGTTGACATTTATGATTACTGCTTCTCTCCTTTGGGTAGTAGCATGATGATATATAACCTATAGCCTTCTTCAATAAACGGGCTATCCAATGCAAAAATAATTTTTCGAATCGGATTAGTCGTTCTTGAGATTAGCGCGTTCAAACAAACAAACTCTTCCATAGGTTATTTACATGTGATTTTAAAGTTTACTCAACAAATTATCTACAAGAATAATATAAATTAATAGATTTCTGATTCTAATTTTTTTGTCCAAGTTATAGATACTTTATTGTTATTATTTGTATTTTATAATCATATTTATAGATATATTTTTTTATATAGATGTTTTTTTTTGGAATAGGGCACTACCCTTAAAAAAAGTTATGGAAATCGATTTACTGTTTATACTATATACTGAATTGAGTACCTTCTCTTTGATGTCGGTTAAGAAAATGCTACTGTATCCATGTCATTTCAGCTATAGTTTTCTTTATTTTTATTCTGATTTACATGGGTTTATAATAAAAATTACAATAAATGCACAATAAAATCGAACTAAATTAGTCTGAAAAGCTCAAATTAAGTAGATAATAACATAAGCTATTTTAAGCTGTCATGTAAAGGAATCCGCGAAATCTAAGCTTCAAATTACGAACGAATGACAAAGTTACTCGTCATGGGAATAAAACTCATGACCAGTTTACTCTGATTCACGCTGTCACTGAGCCAGATGATAAAAATAATATAATTTGTCAAATCCAAGCTCATTTCGCAGTTGTAATCGCCATTAGTGTCGGGGGCAAAGACCTTACTTTATGGGGTTATTCATGTTAAACAAGCCATGACTCAGTAAAAAGTAGAAATATTTGTTCTAGCTGAATGTTACATGTAAGAAAAAAATTGTTTGTAAAATTTTTGCACTAAAAACCCGGTTTATTTGCGCTTTAACTCTCACTTTATTCAGTGCTCTCTGTCTTATAGTAATATGGATGATATTTCAATAGCACGCCATTACTGCAGATCTGGAGGTCCGGATTCGAACTCACGACCTCTGAAGCTGAATCCTAGTTAAAGACTAATATAATTATTGAATCTTCTGTCTATAAAGTGACTTGACTCAATTCAAAAATCCCGTCGATCCATTCCACAATTGCTGTGAAACATTTATGCATTAACATTACTAATAAATAATTAGATGTACAGATATATTATGGGATATTTTCCTTATATAAATAATATATTTTCCTTTAACAAACCCATTAATAACGTGCATACATGCATTTTAATAACTGCCTCGGTGGTGTAGTGACTAGCATGTACGGCTGCACACCCGTAGTTCCTGGGTTCGAGTCCCGGGTCGGGCCAAGATTAGTTATTGAGTCTTTCTGTATGTGGCTGGAATCAGTCAGGAAAACATCATCATCACATGCATTTGCTTAATCTAATATATAAAAATCTCGTGCCACGTCGTGTGTTTGTGGTCGCACTCCTTCGAAACAGCTCGACTGATTTTAATGTTTTTTTTTTATTATTGGTAGGTATGAGAATAGGTCGTAAAATATCTTTCACCCTCCATTCACACCCCCCATTATTTAATCGCGATTTTAGTATTTTTGTATGAACAATATTATATACATACGTGGGTGGGTGAGTCGTTGTATAACATACAGCCTAAAACTTTTTTTTAGATTATATATATATATATATATATATATATATATATATAAAAATGTAGAATAAAGCGAAACAATGTGCTAAAATTTCAGGCTTTTCCAGGCTTTAGTATAGAATAAGGGCACCTAGATATTTTGCATTATACATTGCCGTTGCTTTGCTCTAGTTAAAAGTTCCCGTTTGCAAAAACTACAATGGACAACAAAGCCGACTGAAAGAATGCAAATACAGTCATAAATCACTATGTATATTCTTTAAGGATATAGCTTATTGATAACTATTATATTTACAAGTTATTCTATTCTAGTTCTATTTATAAGTTAAAATATTGTAAGGTACTTTGGTGGCATTTTTCAATTTTTTGAATTCATTTTGTTCATTGTGGGTAGGCTGTCTGTAACAACTATATAATACCTTTGAGACATCTAACACCTCAGTCTCTCCCGTGACCATGATCGCTGTAAAGCATTCGAAACGTCGGGAACCAAAACGCAAAATAAATTTGCGAAAGATCCGAAAAGATAATTTTATTTAAAATGTCAAATATTCGCGTAAATCTAAGAAAGTATTATGTGAACTAATATATTATTTACTAGCGACTCTCGCTTGCTTCGCTCGGGTACGTCCGTAGGTAATTCTTTAAATTGACATAACTTTTTTATTTACGAGTATGAACCGATTGAAATATATTATGTAAAGCTTACCACAATACATCAGTGAAAACCGCACCCAAATCGGTTAAGTCGTTTCAGAGATTAGCACAAACGCATAGACAAACAGACAAAAATCTAAAAATCATTGTTTTGGGTTCCATTGTGTTAATAAAGACCCTTAATATTCGTTTTTCTCAAATATCTTCCATGTACGGATAACGATCAGTTACAATTTTATTATATGTATAGACTACCTTAATAAGTTCAATAGTCTATAATCTATATAGCTAATAGAATAGAAAAGACAGCGAGAGCTACGTCCATCTTTTTTCGCTTTTAAAAAATATTGTCATATTTAATTATAGATAGATACTTTACTTGTTATATAGTGAGTCTTGACTTTAGTCGAGGACGTTTAGAAAACATAGTTTTCTTACCGAATAAACGATGATTGAAGCACATTCTTACTAGCACAATGGAGCATCCAGTCCACCAAATATGTCACTAGTACAGGATGCTAGAGTCAAGTGGACTGGGACCTAGTTTATACCCAATCTCGTAATCTAATATTGACCCATTCATAAATCTTATTCTATTTAGACCTGTCAGCTTCATTCTAGATATAATCTTAAATGCGCTACACACCAGTCCTGCTATACAGCGGATCTCGTTTGCTCTGGATCAAATCACTTCGTGTGTACAGTTTTCTACTTATAATAAATAATTCATATTATTGTGAGTTTTCTGAATTTTGTCATTCATTAGCAAATCCAGTTGAGTGGATACTTGCACCAGATGAAAATAGATATGTGATTATGTCTAGCATAATATTCAAATTGGTATTTTTCTATAATATTATAGGCAATATTAAAACATAGGGAATATTAAAACGTAGGGAATATTAAAAACCAAATTAATGTGTGCGTTGTGCTCTATATACAATTGGTTATGATATAGATTATAAAGCGGATGTAGTACTCCTTTAATTTGACATTCTTGCCCGATCTTGACAGATACCTACATGACAAAACCAAATTCGGGAGATTGTAACAGTTAAATTAAAATTAGGAAAGATATCATATACACATATATTTTTATCTTAAGATCGAAAAGCCCTTAGTCAAATGCTGTGAAAATGGTCGCGGGTGCGAGTCCCGCTGGGGGCATTCCTTTGTGTGATGATCACGAATGTTTGTAATCCAGTCATTGGTGTTCATATTTATAATATGTATGTATTTAGAGTTATATATGTGTAATGTATCAACTATCTGGTATCCATAACACAAGATTCGTAGCTTACCATGGAACTAGATGGTGCTGTGTGTTAATGTCCCAAAATACTTATATTATAAATATAAATTTTAAATACAGATTCCTCTTGTTACAGAACCAGTAATGTCCAAAGTCTAAAACACCAAAACAATGGCGAGCGCAGGAGCAGTCCTCCTTGAGGCTCGGCCTTTCCGACCCTTCAAGTCTTCTGAGGAGTATCTCTATGCTATGAAGGAGGATCTGGCAGAGTGGCTGACAGTTCTTTACCCCGAGCTACGTATCAATGCTGATAACTTCTTGGACAGATTGGATACAGGCGTCGCTTTGTGCAGGGTAAGTTTCTTGACTTTTTTTTTAATATAATATTTATGTCCCACGGGATCTATGGGATTAGAAGTATCATATATCACATTCTGATATATTAGGCGCAATAAATCAAACTTATCATTTGTTTATTTGCTGCGTAGGATAAAACAACAAGGATTAAGAAATAGTTTCGGACAGCTAAATATTTTAGTATCTCTTCATGATATAAGATAATTTATTTTACGTGATAAGATAAAAGAAATTGACAGATTACATCGAAATAATAGAGTTTTACAAATATCATATTTGTGTACAAATAGTTTGTATTTTACCTTAACCCTTAACTTATATTAATACCTATTTTTACAATGTACCTATTTTGTTATTTGACCGACTTCACAAAACGCGGAGTAACTCGATTTAGGTGTATGCTTTTTCTACTTTCAGTGAATAAACCTACTTCATAGATTACACCTCAAAAACCCATACAAGAGAGAAATTAAAATGATTTTCAAGTTCTTTAGGTGTACTTTTTTATTTAAATGGAAATAAATATTTGACTATTTCTAAAGTAAAATATGATTTTTTTCCCCTAAACAAAAGTATCATAACTGGGTACTTGGAATAAATGTAGATTTTAATACTGCAAGTCATTAATGGACAATCGATAGCAAATTAGCTTCGGTCTACTGATCGATATTTTATAACGTTACTGGCTTTTTTTTATGATTTACTTATAATTTTACAATGGACCCACAAAACTGTTCGCACAGTTTGTCTGTGTGATCAGTCTCACTGTAATTTTACATTATGATATTTAAGGATATTTATATATATTACATTATGATAATTTGAGTAGGTATGTTTAATTATGTTAAGCTGTCCATATAATATTTTTTTAATAATTTGGCGAATTTACTTTTACTTGGTTCAAGTCTAATATAAAATATACTTGTAAAATATTTGAAAATATACCGGAAAATTTATATTGTTAAGTACTATGGTACTTTTTTTTTCAATTCAATTCAATTTTCTTGTTAATGGCTTCAAAGTATTTCTTTTTTTTTCTGAATTCATATATAATTTTGTAGGCAGACACTAAACACCATCTTTCCCGTGAGGTTGTTAGCATTCAAATGTCGGGAACAATTAAAATCTTATGAAACACGCGAAATAATCTTTTTCTTACTCTCTTTTAATCTTTCTTCTTCTCTATAGCTTTACTTTATGCTTAATTCAGTTTATAACATTTATAATTAAAGTAAAAAAATCTGGGTTATTGTAGCAAAAAATATAATTTTAACCCTATTTTTGCCAAAATAAACCGAATTCGTGACCATTATCCTGCCAAGTTATTCCAGCTATCAAACTTGAGCAATAAAATCTATTTGGAACATAATTTTAATGAATGGCTGTTTAATTATTACTTTTGTCACGTAGTCCAAGACAATGAGAGCTCAAAACCGCCGTTGTGGCGTCACTATACAGCCTATACGTCATGGTTTTATTTTAGCGGTTTATTATTTATCTGTGTTTTTCCTGTAATTCATATATAATGAGTTAATCATTATTTTGAACCAACTTCGTAAAAGATGATTTTTTTTATACCACGTCGGTGGCAATCAGGCATGCGGCCCGCCTGATGGTAAGCGGTTTCCGCAGCCTATGGACGCCTGCAGCACCAGGGGCATCACATGCGCGTTGCCGATCCTTTAAGAATCTGTTTACTCCCCTTTTGAAGGACCCCATACTGAAGCCCTCTGGAAAAACCTTGGCAAGGAGTTCATTCCACAGCGAAATGGTCCGTGGGAGGAAATGAAACCGAACTGTATGGGACCATTTGGGCTGCAATGATTAATGATTGCGAATTAATGATATTTTAGTTAAAAAAAAGATTATTGAATGAATTTGTTAGTAGATATTTTTATGTATTTTTCTAAGCAACATACTAATAATATTTTTGGCACATATTAGGCTTTAAAAAAAGATTTTTTTTATAAAATCTCTTCACTTACACTCTTGCTGTATAAGAACTTCCGCTCACTGCAGATTTTCAATCGAGCGATAATTTCAAAACCATAATCAGATAGATGTATGATATTGGCTGTCGGATGACATAAGTCTACAGTATGCGAGGGCTCTTAATGTCGCTATTTTATCACTCAAAGATATTTTATCAATACACTGGCCCCTTTTTTATGCAATATTTGTTTAAAAACATAAATTACTATAGAATTCAATTAAAAAGATAACATTTCTTAGAAGTTTCTATTGAGAACAGTAATAGTTTTTTTTAATATAGTATTAATATATTCACTAATATTGTTATTGCGTAAATATGTTTGTTGCATTTGCATGTTTAATACAGATAAATTACTATGACTCCATAACTGTGGAGAAACATATAGGGCTTTTTTAATAATATTTTTTTAGTAATAAAATTAGTTAAAAGGAGGCTTTCTGTATATAATATTAGCAGAACCCGCGGCTTCGCTCGCGTTAAAACTACAAAATACTCTAAAATGGTACGTTTAATACAAACTTTCATCCGCTATTCCACCCCCTTATGGGATGAATTTCGAAAAATGCTAAAACATGTATTTAATTAAGTGTATTGAAGAGCGTTTATACCAAGATTCAAGTAATTCTGATCATAAATATTTTTTTGGATTGTATTATAACGTGTTTTCCCGTGGGAAAGAGATAATCCCCACGGTAAAAAAGTAGCCTATGTCACTCTCCAGCCCTCCAACTATCTCCACACAAAAAATCAGTCAATCCTCTACGTGAAAGAAAGACAAACAAACAAACACGCTTTCAAATTTATAATATTAGTATGGATTAATAATATAAGAATTAAAAACAAATGGCACCTAGAGACCCGAGCAAAGCGACAGTAAGACTCTATTATGGGATATAATTTTCTTTCCATGGTGTTTTAAGCTATCTATTGCCTTAAAACCACTCTTTTATTTATGTATACGTAGTACATATATATATAAAGCAATTATGTATTGTTTTTCTGGTATACAATATTTATTGTATTCTCAAAATCTATACATATAATAAAATTGTAACTAAACCGAATCAGTACATTGAATATTTTTTGGAAAATCTTATTGATATAGAATTTATTATCTATACAGAAGCCGAATCTATAGTTTTTAGAATTTTTGTCTGTCTGTCTGTCTGTTACCGCATCACAGAAAAACCACTGGACGGATTTTGATGAAATTTGGTATGGTGATAGCTGGTTATCCGGGTCAACATATAGGATACTTTTTACTGCGGAAAATATCTCATTTTTGAGAAAAAATACAAAAACTGAAATGTAAGAGTATACTAATATGTAAAACCCTAGAATTTGGTTTTTGGTCATCTGAACGCGGGCGGAGGAGCCGCGGGCAATGCTAGTCATATAGAAGACTTTATATAATTTTTATTTATCTATAAGTTTGAATAGCTAAACGGATTTTAGTGAAACTTTTAAAACACATAATATAATTGTATACGAAATATAAAAAAGCAAGAGAGAAGTCGCACGCGATTGCTAGTATTCAATAAATCTATTCAATGAATATGTATTCAAATTCCGAACCAATTTCGCAACGTGACATTTCATTAAACGGCTGTCAGATTATCAGTCAGTTTGTCAACCTTCTGGGATGTTGCGTTACATTCAGGAATTTTATAGTTTATTGCGTAAAGTTATGATAATAGGCAATACTTAGAAGTCTAATTAATTTATCAGGCAGCCTTGAGTCTTATAAGCTTTATGTCTAGGAAATAGAAATCATGTAATGACTATGTAGCACTATACTTTCTTAGATTTACGCGAATATTTGACATTTTAAATAAAACTATCTTTTCGGCTTTTGTCGCGGATTTATTTGCATTTTTGTTTCCCGACGTTTCGAATGCTTTACAGCATCCATGGTCACGGGAGAGACTGGGGTGTTACATGTCTTGGAGGTATAGTTGTTACAGACAGCCTACCCACAATTAACAAAATGAAAATTGCACCAATTACATTACAATATTTTTTAACTTATAATTTTAATTATAATTGAATATGGAATATTATTTATTTGATTTTTGCTATTATTTTTAGAATTATTACAATTTTAAAATATGAATTAGTAATCTATATTTAGTGTTGCCATTATTATATTTATAACCATAAAGAAAAATATAAAATATAGTGTTAATTATTTAAGCCATATAATTGTTCGATCTTGTTTGAGGTAATGACTGTCTTAGTAGAAGACTAAAGTGGAAACCGTAAATTGAAAAATATTATAAGTTTAAGACATCACAAACGTTAACAATGTTTATATCTTGATATTGTTTTTTTTAAATAATTGGTTTTTGATTACAAATAAACATTTTCAATTTATGTATATTTGAAACTCGAAAAATATAGATTGAATTGAATTGAGTATTTCCACATTTTAAAATCGGTTAAAAATAGATTTATCTGTTAGTGAGTGAAAATGTTATTCACCTATATTGTAGTACAAAGTCATGTCCTCAAGAACACAACATAGTGTATATATGAGTAAGGCGTTAACGTTTGAGTCATCTTCTGAAAAATCATCACGATATTAGACTGCGTGTTGATAACGCGTGATAAAATAAAGGCGTGGAAAAAATATTCAAAAACTCTATTTCTTTATGAGTTTATTTGTGTGATGAGCACGAATGTTTGTACTCCAGTCATGGGTGTTTATATTTATAATATGTATATATTTAAAGTTATATATGTGTAGTGTAACAAGTATCTGGTATCCATAACACAAGCGTTGTAGCTTACCATGGAACTAGACGGTGCTGTGTGTTAATGTACCAACATATTTATTTATTTATATTCTATACATATCAGAGATAAAATGTGGTGTATGCCACTCTCCTAAATATTAAAGTTAAATAAATAAATTTTATTTTTGCAAAAGTTGACAAATCAATCAAATCTACTCTTTAGTTTGTTTTTTAGAAAAAGTTTCATCACAATCGCATCATCAGTTTAAAAACAATGACTAATTTGTCAAAGTCCAAAAAATATGTAACAATTATATTATGAAAAGATCAGCAAAATTAAAATAGTTATGTTCGTACATTTGTTACACAACATGACCTAATGCTGACTTATTGATACTTAAATCGAATTGATTGGTGTCACTGCTTTATTATCATATATTATAAACAACTCGTTATCGTTGTAACTCCGCTCGCGATATCGATGAAAAATGGTCTCTATCACTCGGGGTTAAAGTACATTATGATGTAGTTCAAGAGATTATCCTTTACGTGCAGATATATTGTACAATTTTATAATACGCAGTGTAAGATAAGCTCTACTGCTACACGCAGTGCTCACATGTATATATTTTGACGACACGTTTGGCTAAGTTTGTAGCGACCCTACTTGCTGTGCCAGCAGTCGTGGGCTTGAGTCCCGCTGGAGGCATTCATTTGTGTGATGAGCACGAATGTTTGTACT